GGGGTGGGTGGTATTCTGTCTGATGTTGATTCGAGTGTGTGTGTTGGTGAGTTGGTGTTGTTGTTGTTGTTGTTGTTGTTGTTGGTTGCTGATGATTTGGGTGATTTCTTTGAGAGTGAGTGTGATCTGGAGAGTACTAGTGAAGGTGGTCGTGGTCTGATCTGTCCCTTGGCCATGTCTGCTTGTTCTTGTTCTTTTTTGTTCTTCTTCGGTTTGATCGACTCTTGGGTGTTTTGGTAGGTTTGTTGGGTTTGGTTTCGGGATGGAAGAGTCCATTCAGAAGAAGAAGAAGAAGAAGAAGAAACAAGAAAAACTTGGAGTGCAAGGATGCTTACATCATCATCCAAAACCTAACATAAACCCCCTTCAAGTAATCACAAAACCAAAAAAACTGGACACAAGTCAGAAACCACTAGCAAAATAGCAAAACATGCACATGCCATTTGTTTACATACTAAGGACACAGCTTGACTTGTGGTATGAGCTTGTTAGCCTTCTGTGTGGTTCAGTTGACTTGACATTTACTGATCAGCAAAGCATGTTCAAAAAGTGGGTAGAAAGCCATCTGATGTTTATTAAACTCTGCACTATAGCTGGTCAATCAGTTCCTGGTTAGAAGCATCCACAAGAGCACCCAAGCCCCAATCAAAAGGAGTATCCCCCACCCCTCCTTCCCACATCAAAGACAACTCTGACAAAAATCATGGTATTGTACACATTCAAAATCAAATCATGATCATTAACATGGCTAAAAACTGGCAGTGATTGCCTGATTTTAAAGGCTCTCACAAATAGGTTCATCAAATTGTTTCTAATTAGTAAGACATAAAATAAGCATTAGGCAGGAAAGCTTTAGGTTGATGTTATATTAGATCATCACTGCTACTAGAAAATTTCCAATCAACACATCCTATGTTGTCCCAATTTCCATCCAACAATACATATCATCCTCAACTCTAGAATTGTTTGTGTCAATCTTATCATCTGAGGAAAAAATACTCAATAAAATTAGATAACAGTAAAGACTCTTCCAAACCAACTGCTTGAATCTTTTAATTAGCTATTTCACCTGCAAGACTTATCACTTCTTGTCCAAGGTATGCAAAATGGTGAGGTGCATATCAAGGAGTCACAATGCATTCAAGATAAAGTATTTATTCAACAGATAATCCAGGAGTTTCCTGGGTCTCTTGTGGTGGTGCTCTTTGGGTGTAAGACTCAGAGCCTACTGTTAACTCTTCACTGTTAATTGTTCTGGAGTGACCAACACAAGGCTCAATAGCAAGGGAGAAGCTTTGGAGCCAACAGTACGGTTCCATTACTAACCCCAGAGATGGAAGAACTCTTGATAAGTACAACTGAAAAAAAAGAAAGAAGAAGGAAGGGCATACCCAGCACTGGAGAGGGAAGAACTCTACAAAGCTAGAAAGTGGGGAGGTAATTTCATCTCATTACTGATGAGATTAGATACAACATCATAGCTGGTGATTTGGAACCTCCACCTAGTACAGGTTTTGAATGGGATTCACTCAGCAGTACATAATCAATGGTTTGGCAACATACTTTCACTCTCCCCAGTTCCCCTCCTAGCTCAGGAGAGACCATCCTGACTTCTTCACTACTGAGCTAGAGTTGAAAACAGACTGCATTTCTGGAAAATTGGTCTCCCAGAGCACATCGCTTTGCTTCCAGAATGTCAGCCACAGAGTACCTTTCACAGTACCTGAAATGTACCTAGTAACTGCAAATAATAATAACTAATTGAATACAGGGAAAATATTATTTCATTGTTGTTAAAATAATAAATAATTAAATATGTATTTACATTTAGTCTTAATTCATAATTTATATTTAATAATTCTATAATTAACTGTGAAATCCCCTTGATTATTGCACATATAATATCACTAGGATTTCACAGAAATATCATTATAATAAGTTATTAAAACAATATTTATTCTTATACATTATGTACATATTTTATAAGCCATAAACTAATTACATATGTATAAGAATCAGCTAGTAGAAGTGTGAGATGGATGAGGAATAAGCTATATAAATTATCTGAAGCTTACCCATCCTTGATCACATCATCAGGGCATCAGATTGCATCATAAACCTCATGGAATGGGGTCATCAGGACCCTTTTGTGCCTAATTCAAAGCTTGCATAATCCAAAGTAGTCTTACACGGTAAGAGCCGATTCTACATGCAAGACTGAATTATGCATGCCGCTACATGCATTTCTCATGATCACAAGCTTGCATAAGTAGAGTTACACATATGCAACTAACCATACAATTGCACAGCCCCTGCACAGTAACTGCAGCTCTTTCAATTACGTGAGAAATGGGCCATAAATTCAATTATGCATGTATGATATCATGTCCTAGGAACTTCCATCAATGCATAGCACTGCACAGCTACATTTCCCATGTTTACACAAAACTTTAGAGATGCTAAGAAGCTCCCTAGTGCCCTGAGGGCCTCTCCTCTTCCCCTGAGCCCCCTGCAGAATATTTAAGGAGCCCTGATTCCTACCTTTTCCCCCCAGGAAATTCTAGCAGCATCAAACCAATACTTGTACTGTGATTATTAGTGACTTAGACCACCAATAACTCTACAACTCAGATACCTTAGACCTAAATAGATTTACTTTGCTCAGTATCAAGGCATTTCTACTTATCTCTATTGCATAAAGAATTATCCCCCAGGTTAAACAATTCTGGTCCTTAAGTGTTGATACACTTATGAATCTGAATTTTTGTTAAAATATTTATCCCCAGTGAGTTGAAGAAGTCCTCACCTTGGAAGCCTATTAATCCACGTAACACGATTGATCTGGATGCCCAATTGAATAATTGTATGAGTCAGCAGTAGAAGTACCATTCCTCACTGACTCCTCCCTGTTTCTTTTACGGGTTGGGGGATTTAACCACGAATAAATCTTCTTAATTACTCTTCTTTTTAACACTCAGAGCACAGCCCTTACAGGTTAGTAGCATGTCAGCCTCTATGCTACTAACCTGTAAGGGTTGTGCTCTGAGTGTTAACAAGAAGAGTAAGTGAGAAGTTTTATTTGTGGTTAAATCCCTCAACCTGTAAAAGAAACAGGGAGGATTCAGTGAGGAATGGTACTTCTACTGCTGACTCATCCAATTATTCAATTGGGCATCCAGATCAATCTTGTTACATGGATTAATAGGCTTCCAATGTGAGGAATTCTTCTACTCACTTGGGATCAAGTCTTTTAACAACAATCCAGATGAATAAGTGTATGTACTCTTAAGGACCAGAATTGTTTAACCAGGGGGATAATTCTTTATGCAATGGAGATAAGTAGAAATGCCTTGAATCTGAGCAAAGTAAATCTATTTAGGTCTAAGGTAGCTGATTTTTAATGTTATTGGTGGTTTGAATCACTAATAATCACGGTACAAGTGTTGGTTTGATGCTACTAGAATTTCCTGGGGGGAAAAGGTAGGAATCTGATCTCCTTAAATATTCTACAGGGGGCTCAGGTGAAGAGGAGAGGCTCTCAGGGCACTAGGGAGCTTCTTAGAAGCTCTAAAATTTCGTGTAAGGATGGGAGCTGCAGCTGTGCAGTGCTATGCATGGGTGGAAGGTCCTAGGACATGAGATCACACATGCATAATTGAGTTTTGTGGCCTATTTCTCACATAATTGAAAAGGCTACAGTTACTGTGCAGGTGCTGTGCAATTGTAGAGTTGGTTGCATACGTGTAACTCTGCTTATGCAAGCTTGTGATCATGAGAAATGCATGTCCTTCATGCATAATTCAGTCTTGCATGTAGAATTTGGGCTCCTTTCCCGTGTAGGCTACTTTGGATTATGCAAGCTTTGAATTAGAGCACAAAAGGGTCCTGATGACACCATCCATGAGGTTTATGATGCAATCTGATGCCCTGATGATGTGATCAAGGATGAGTAAGCTTCAGATAAATTTATATAGCTTATACCACATCCATTTCACGCTTCTATTAGCTGATTCTTATACCTATGTTATTAATTTATGTATTATAAAATATGTATATAATGTATAAGAATAAATATCATCTTAATACCTTATTCTAAAGCTATTCCTTTGAAATCCTAGTGATATTATATGTACAATACTCAAGGGGATTTCACAGTTAATTATAGAATTATTAAATATAAATTATGAATTGAGATTAAATGTAAATACATATTTATTTATTTATTATTTTAACAACAATGTATAATATTTTCCTGTATTCAATTATTTATTATTATTTGCAGTTACTAGGTACATTTCACGTACTGTGAAAGGTGCTCTGTGGCTGACATAGCACATAAGAGGCTGACACAGAACACATACCAACGGATAGTGAAGGATCAAGGACAATCCTTACAATTAGGTAATCTGTGATATTCTTGTGAAGTATAAAAGGGGGGCTTCACATGATTTGGTGCTAGCAACACTGAAACCAATAAAATACATGTATCTGTATCTGTATCTGTATCTTTATCTGTTTTTATCCCAATACACTGTATCTGCATTCTATTGGAAAATTTGGAAAAACAATACTTGTTGAAATGAAGACCAACAGATACTGATTTTTTTAGAATTAAAGGAGAAAAGGTCAGTGAGTATTTTTTATCTCACTGGAACGGCACAGGTGGTGCGGAAAATGAAGGAAGAACCGTTGATTTGATTCACATGTAGCTAGCATCATATAAATAGTCTATGTACATGTGGTCAAACTGTGGGTGAGATTTAAATGAATATGCAAAAATAAACAAGGGCTCATGAATATAAGTCACACAAAAAGATAAGACAAGCTAGAGAGTTGATAAGTCAGGGATGTCAGGGTTCAATGACTACAAGACATGTGATCAGACATACATAACTAAACATTATACAGACTATGATGAGTTAACAAAACAAAGAGTAGAAATGATAGTAGTGATCCGGGAATTTGGGGTGAGTAAGAGGAAAAAGATGAAGTTTCAACAATACTATACAAATATATCAATTCATATCTGGTCACCAATGCAGCTCAATACACAAACAATACAATACTATATCTTTTTTATTGCACAGTTGGATTGTTGAAGACAGTCCAAATTGGCCAAAAAAATGTGTAGTAGTTTTTTCATAAAATACCTTTGTATTGTATCTGATTTTAGATACAATACCCAATATTACCATTTTTTTGAGTATCTGAAGAAAAGATACAATCACTGTACATGTATTGTATTGTATTGCTTTCACCATTGGTGCTAGGTACACCACAGCTTGATTTTTTTTGAGTCCAGGTTGGCTTGAATGCACAGTCAGAGATCACAGGTTGGCACCAACCTGCAGGGTTGACAGCTCCACTTTTGAAAAATGGTTTGCTGGAGGGCTCCTCCAAAGTGTCAGCAATTTGTGCCTTTGGCTGGCACATTGGAGGCGCACCAGGGGTGCCATACTTTTCTCACATATGGAGTTTTCCTGAAAAACACTAGAATCAGGACTTGAGAAAACAAAAAATAATTAAAGTTGGAATGATAAGATAGACAAAAAGATGATGTTATAAGAATGAGAATAAAATGAGGAAATGAGCATACCATGAAAAGATTTATTTCCGGATGAAGACAGAATGCACATTAAAAGCTCAAGTAGAAAGATTAAAAAGAGAGAAATAGCAGATGCTAAGAGGTAAACAACAAAACAGAAGAAATTTTAATAGAAGTTTTTATTTGCTTGATGAGAGGAGGATGATGGTAAAATTGTTTTCACAAAATTGGCAAAAGCCAAGTGAACAACTCAAGAGATGGGATTGGTGCATGCTAGGTATAGATTGAAGTGAAGTCAACACCAATAGGGTTGAGTCAGAAGGTATGTGATAGAGAGAAAGAAGAGGAGTAGGGGAAAGAAGAAGCAAATTTGGAGTCAAAGGGTGATGTTGCAGAGACAGACAAAATGAAGATGTGTCTGGTGATATTCAAAATCACCACCCCGGCTAGTCTGAGACACACACTAGAGTGCTGCCTTTACCAACTAGGCTACAGACGCTTGTGACTGCCAGGGTAGTTGGGTGGTATTGATCATGGTTTGACATTTAGTGATAAATCATGGTAGCAGGCTATCAGACACCTCAACAGATGTAAGAAATGTTGAATGGTGGATAGTGGGAATTACTAAAATGCAGGCCAAGCAGTTGTGGCAAGAGATGAGGAGATTTTGTGTTTGGAGGAAGAATAAACAGATTAGGAAATGTGTGGAGTACCGTAAGTACTAAACACAAGGTTTGCCAGTGACATGGGGAAGACAGAGGTTTTTCAGTTGGGTAGACTAGGAGAAAAAAATTATAGTTAGTGGTGAAAAAGGATATTTATTGTGAGGTAATAGGACCACTGTGCAGTGTGTGGTTCACATATAGGTGAGGGAACGGGAAATGAAAGATGAGGAAGTTGAAACAAAGAGATTGGATGAGTATAAAAGGGAGGCTACTGGAAAGCAATAGACTGCATTGTATGATTCTTGTTTGGCCGCATTGCTTAGAATCATACAATCCGCAACAATACCCATTAGAAGGGGGAGGTTTTGTTTTTTAAGTTAGGGTTGAGGTGGTTTGCTTATACCTAAACTGTTAATAGAAAAAGAACAAAAGGAATAAAGCATGTTTTCATTATCACTGGTTCAGGGAAATTGAATCTCAGCATGATTGCCACAAGAAGAGAAATCACACCAGGAAACTTGTTGTTTTTCCCACCCTGGAAGCCTATTGAGGGGGTTAGAAAAAGAACTCCTAAGTTTTAGTTGAATACTTTTTCTAGTGCTGTTTGAAACTCTGTGTCTCACTGTCTTGCTGTGGATCAAGCATTGTTTTGCGGGTGATCTGAGTGCAGCATCCAGTGAAAACTCAACATTATCAGAAGACATCACAAAAAAATATGAAATTGCTACAAGATTTCAATTTTTCATGAGTATCATTTTGCAAAAAAAACAGGTTTCCTACCAATTAATTACACAATATGGTTCAATTGGGGCTTTCCAGAGTCTCATTTTACTACGTTGTTAGTGTCTGAGTGGTATCTTGTATTATTGTATAGTACTGAAATCATTGTAGTCTTTGAAGCTTGGTCTAGTCTTTATCAACATTCATTTACTCCTGTAATCTTTTCATGCATATTTTAATGTGTTATTCATTCAGAAATTCAATTTTTCTCAAACCACAGATGAAACTTATTGTACATATTCTATTTGAGGTGTAGGCTTTGTTAGTAAATAAAAATCATCCATTCTCTCAATTTTATTCCCTGTGCCACCTTTAAGTTCCCAAAAAGTTGGGCCACGGCAAGTATGTTCGAACAAACATCTCTCTCTCTCTCATTTGTCACAAAACCTATAATTTCTTTATGGATGAACATTGATCAACCAAATTTTATTTATTTTTTCCAAAATATAGGAGTTGGTAAATGACCCCCACCCAGGCCATGATAGACCCAACACGGAGGGGGGGGGGGAGGCAGAATTTCAATTTAAATGAATTTGGTGCCCATTTTAAGGTTTTTATCATTTTTTTTCAAAAGCTTTGAAATCCTCAATTTTTCACCCCCCTACCCAATTATGTTGGACATCAGCACAAAAAGTAAATGATGAGGAAACAATAGGGGGGTTCACGATAGCTTTTTTGGCTTATGGCCCCCCCTTAAAAAATTCTTGCTGGCGTGCTTTTTGGGTTAAATTTTAAGCTAAAAACACAGGCACAAACATCGGCCAGCATTCATAAATCTTGTTGATCATCAAACTACATGATAAACCTTTAGTTAGCCCCCCCGAGTTTCTGATCTGCCCAAGATAAACCCCTCCACTTGATTTACACATCGACAACTCCCTGAAAGGTTATGTTTCCACAATCGTTTTTCTTTGCCAATCACATTTAAGCATATTTCATACATACGTCCATCCCTGCATCATCCATCGAAGCCGACAAAGGTTGAGACATGTTTGGAGCCTGAGTCGGTGAAGCCTGAGTCAAGGAGACATCACCCCATGAGGGGAGGATCCCAGACCCATTGGTCGCACGTGCAAAGGATCGCTGGGTCATCAACGATGGGGATGGGTCCATGGCGGTCCCAGTGAAATCCAGAGGTGGCGGAAGTTCGTCGTCCTCGTCAAGTACATTATCTCCATCCAGTTGGGGGGTGACCTGGCCAGTTAGCCGATCAAGCGTTGAAGAGTGGCGGGACCAATCCAACTGGGACGCAGGCGTGGTTAACCCCGACGGTGGTTGTTCTTCTTGGGTCTCTTCCCAACCAGACAGAAAAACTTCGGGTGATGATTCACGACGACTGCTGGTTTCGTTCGTCTCCCCATACAAGTCGGGCCCAATCCCCGAGTCAAATTGAACAGGAGCATCAAGAAGAGGTCCCGGAGGATACCTTGTTGCTCACTGTATTTTTGCATGATATGGTGTTGAGTGATGAACCAGCGCCGGCGGAAATGGTTGGTTAGGTGATCTGACGGTATTCTGACCCGGCCAGAAATTTATGGGGAATGATGGTATGGCCTCACCAGTGCATTCACATACATAAATTTTTTTGGTGGGTGCCTTCTGGCGACTCTTATTGTACGATATAATTTTACCTGCGCAGCGTGCGCAACACTTCTGGTGGGACGATAAAATGTTTCTGGTGAAACGCTATCGTGAACCCCCCTAATACCAAACTTACACTTGAGGACTGTCTGAGGAGGACGTCCCTAGCCCCAATTTTGCCCACCCATAAAGATTTGTATGTAGGCTGCAGCCCCATTCCCCAGGGTTTTTCTTGTTAAAATATTTTGGGATACAACTCCCATTCCCACTGCAGGAATAGGATGAACAACTCCCAGCCCTTAGGATGACTGCAAATTCAGAGGTGGGGACATCCTGTGACAGTCCCCAGGTGTTTCTCCCAACAACTCCCAAATTTGGGATCCAATTAACCAAGGCCCAAAATCATATTTGAGTGCTGATTATTTTAAATTCAACAGATATTTGAAGGGAAAGTCAGATTAAGTCAATTTTTTGTAATTGCATGCTTGGTGCCACACTGCCATACAGATCAAGTATCATTGCCCATTTTAATTCATTCAAGCTGCATAACCTTTTTTCCTGAAATTTGGGCGCATATAAGTTTGTAAAGATTACATGGCCATCAAAAGCCCCAGTCTGAACTCTTTGACCAATGACCTAATGACCTTGTCCAATGGCACTATCACCTAAACTACTCACAAGACCAAGCCCCTTGTGCCTTACATATCAGGACCAAGGTGTCAATTTTATCATTTATGATTGTCAGTGACAGCCAATGTGAAGGGTTATCTATCAATGTTCAACTAGTATGAGTGTCATTATCCAAATTTCAGCTTTTGGTGGCTCCACCTTCCCACCTTCTGATTAAGTTCTTCAATTTGACCAAGGAATATGTGCTTTGTTTGGATCAAATAGCACAAAAGACCTTCTGTCTTCTTCTTCTTTGAAAATTTGGATTACTATTACCAGAGATGTTGGAGGAGAGCACAGAATTATGGTTTATCCACCCCCTTGCCTGATGATTTCGTGAATAATATGAAATGTTCCCTCCAGACAACAAGCTAAAAGGGAAAAATAGGGTGGTGGTGGCTGAAGCGGGTTAAGGTACGTATAATCGTATTGATAATCGGAATGGTGATGGGGGCGATAACGATGACGACGATGGGGAGTGTTCCAAAAATAACGCTTATACTGGACATCTATTATGTTTTTACGCTGCCAAGCTCTCACTTTGTCAAGTCGCTGGTTGATCGACTGCCTCGAGGTGGACAATTTCACCGACCCAGTCGTCAATTCGTTTCGTAGCGTTTTGATCATTAACTCTTCTTCATCGTATGATGGTTTCATAAATTTGAGACCAAAGATCCGGCGGAATTGTTGGGAGATTTGGGCAAGCTCTCTCAATTCATAAGCCTCATACCGATCTCTAGAGGGCACAACATGTTCGCAAATGTAGTCGATTTTCGCCATGGTTTCCTGGAATAGGCGAGGAAGTTCAGAAGCGCGTAGTATTGCGTCGATCTCGTTCCTTTGCTTAAATGTGGCCTTTCTGAGGTAGAGAAGCCTGATTTCAAAAAGTTTTAGTGTTGTACTCACAGCACCATGGCCTAAAGTTTTTGGCCCCAACCAGTCAGTATTTCTTCCTGCTTTTAAATTCAAACTCTTCATATGTGCATCGTCCTAGAGAAGCGTAAGATGCAGTTCACTTACGCTGTATCTCGGCAAAGTCGGATACTTCACCATCGGAGTAAGTGCGAGTGAGTGCTCTCTCAAGTTCTGGTAAGGTGCCGTACCCGTGGCGAAGATCAGTCAAGAAGTTGGTCGATTTTCGTTGAGCAAGCATCTCTATTTCTCCTGGAAAGCTTTCTGGCGACGAGCAAGAAGCAGGTGCTTGGTTGCGAACCTCTTCCAAGTCGTTTCCCACTTTACTTGTAACACGTCCCCCCAAACTACCGGAAAGCGATCTGACCAATAATGAGCAAAAGCCAAAAAGACTATAAAGTCGCATCTTCATCGGAGAATACAAATTCAACTATCAAAGACAGGGAACGAGGGTGAGTGTTGATCGGGTCACCTTGGGTGGCCGAATCTCACGCACCCTTGCCCCTTTGAGTCCATTTGTTCTTTCAAAAGTGTCATGCAGTGGGTCGAAGGTGATACGCGTTTGGAATTAACTCCCACCGGCTGCTATGTCTCAGGTCCCTGAGGGCCCAACAATTTTGTATGCCCAACTCTCTAGCAAGAATCGCGCAAAAAAGAAAAACGGCCCAAAGCCCACACCCACAGTGACCCACCCCAAATGCGCCTGCTTTTGCCCGGTGCGCGCTGCAAAAAATAGTGGACCTCCCCGGCCGGGTCAGCAAAGTGACATCCCGAGCAGCTTGAGCGGGTCGAGGGAGAAGGTCGGCGGCGACCGCCGGCCTGCACACATGCTTCTTGCCTCCTCTTTGTCAAATCCTATGAACTGTTCTTGCCTCAGTTTTTTTCCCCCGTGACCTTGTTGACGTTATCGAGTGGAGTTTTCTCCAAGAGTATTTTCGAACACCGATGGAAAACTATCCTTACATTCATCAATCAGGAAGAATTTTGGATTTGTCCCTAGGTTTAGCCAAAACCAGTCCGATATGATAGCCAGGGACAGGTATTTCTGATAATTAGGTAGACAACAAAGCTCTGAAAGAAATATCTTTAACTTCATGTACGCAACAGATAGACAAAACTCTTCCAGCGTGAAAGCTTGAACCCGACCGGCCGACAGCGACCGACCGTGCTTCGCCATTTTCCAGTGCGTACAAGTGAGGAGGGGATCTGGTAACACTTTTCTAGCAATCAAATTTGATGGTCGACATGCGGATGACGCGGTACTCGGCTGTTGCTAGGGACGCGAATGATGGATGATGTGTGTTGCGTGCAGAAGGATGATACGGAAACCTCAACCGCTTCGTTCCAAATTACCCAAGGTGAGAGGTCAAATTGTACGCATCTCTCCAGATACATCTCCCCTTCAGGACTGCACAACTGAAATGTATGTATGTATGTAGTCGACATTAGCAGTCTTCCACTTGGCCAGCCCTGGCCAGCCACTAGGGGGGTTGCTGGAGGAACAAACAAAAATCTGAAACTTTCTGTCATTCGTTGACCTGTGCGCCTTGAATTACGGAACTGTGTGCACAAGTCTCGAGCTTGCGGCATCAGGCGGCATCGTTACATGCTCCCCCGTACGCCGAACGGTAACCATTTTGATTCTTGCCGGAGGCTGGTCTCGTATTGGGGAAGAATGTTTTCTAGAACTGGGCTTACAGCCTTGCATGGTGATGCAGACATGTAGACGTTACCTAGGTATCGCGACACCTGGAAGGATTTCAGAATATCCTACGTAGTTGCACGCCGCCTCAAGTTGTGCACAAATCACCTCTTCATCGATGCGCCTCACGACATTATTGCGATTGGGTAGGGCTCAGCCAAAGGCTTCCCTTGTGCCGGTTTGCGCAACCATTGCCAAAAGCTTCATAAGCAGTCCTCATCTTCCATCGTTTGCAGCACCCATCGCACCCTGAGGGTCCATTTTTTTCCCCTGAGCACCAGTCATCGGTTCGTTAATAAATAATATATTCAACCCTTTCAGATCACTTACTCACTCTAGCCACCTTCCACAACCTCAGCCCACCATCCCAGCGCCGCAAATTGCATTAGTAAACCGACATACATCTCCAAGCTAGCCTGCCAAGTTCCATCTGGCATCTTGATTCTCTTGAATTCTGTTGAATAATTTTCTTCCGAGATCTTTCTTAATTCCATTCTTTAATGCAACATCTGCCAGTGATGAAGGCCTTCATCTTCCTTGTAATTAGCTTGCAGTCGTTAGAAGCCAGACAAGTCTGGTCCAAGTGAGTTTTCTTCGAAGTGCAACCCATTACGCCAAGAAATCCCACCGGTCATTTAAACTAATACATACATCTGTTATTCTTTAGCGATCCTGCATTCCCGGTCCATAGGCTTCAACGTCGACGTTTCAGTCAAGAGTCCGTTCCAGCCCACCTATTCAACATTGAAGGCTGCCCGGGGCAAGTTTGTGGAAACTTAGGTCCGTCAATAACTACTCCACCCAACCTCTTGAAACCCGAGTGCATTAGCAGGTTACTCACGCCGTTATGCGATTTGATTTGATGCGACAGGTGGTGGATCTATTACGCCCTTGCTAGCCTTGAAACCTCCCTGTGATCAGCAAGATTACGCCGACAAGGTCATTGACGCTGCCTTGGTGAGCATCCCTCACGTCTTCCGCATGTCCTTCGTGCCATCTTGCTCACCATCCTAACATTTCATAGGACAAGACCAATGGTATCACTTCCGAGGATGTCAGGAAAAAGCTGATCAAGGTAGCCATTGATTATCGTCAGGTGAGCAAGAATGATTACTCACCGGTGGCACCCCACAGTAACAAACTTACCAATTGCAACTCCATTTTTGAATAGGCTGAGAGGAATACCAAGCCAATCTACTACCCCTTACCGAAGGGACGAAACTCGCTGTATTGTGATAAGGCGCCGAGGCACGCAGAGCTCAACGGCCTGGTTCAAAAGCAGGACCCGGACGCCGACCCTACAGTCTTCTTCGATCCTACAAAGATTAAGGACAATGATGGAACGGTTATGCTCGGTAGTCAAGCTAACACCTATCCTTTTGGAAGTAAGTAATTCTTCTCGCTTCAACTCTCAAAAGCAGCTACCCAACAAGAATTGTTAACGATGCTTGAAACCCATTCTTCTTGTTTTCACAGAAGTACCAAAGGATTTCAAACCAGCCCCACCGCCCTCTGGACCTGTTCCAAATAACGGAGGAAACCCTCTACCTGGGACAGACGCTAACGGACAGAAAACTGAAAGCTCGTCTAGTAGCGGCGCACCCTCTAACAACGGTGGAGGGCAACAGCAGAAGACCGCCGATCAGAATGCGGGTGGAGGCAGCCAAACCACCACCCCAAGCTCAGACCCCAAATCAACCGCAAACGGTTCCGCGGACAATCAGAACAACGGACAGCCGGCCGACAACTCTAAATCTGGAGATCAAGGAGGACAACAGCAGAAGACCGTCGATTCTAATGGAGGCGGAGGCGGCCAAACCACCACCCCGAGCCCAGTCCCGAAATCAACCGAAAACGGCACCGCGGACAATCAGAACAACGGACAGCAGACCGACACCTCAAACTCCGGGAATCAAGGAGGACAACAGCAAACAAACACATCCGGTGACCAGTCGCAAGACAGCTCAAAAAACGGAGACCAGGGAGGAAAACAGAAGACCGATGCAACTAGCGACCAGCCCAAAGACAGCTCGAAAACCGGAGGCCAAGGAGGACAAGAGCAAAAGGGCGTCGATGACAATGAAGATTCAAACGCGGACAGTTGTGCCCCTGACAATTCGAAGAACACAGAGGAAGACGACACCTCTCAGGAAGGACAAAAGCAGACCAACACCGACTCCTCGAAAAGTGGTGACCAAACGCCTGGTGGCTCGAAAACCTCAGGCCAAGGGGGACAAGAACAGAAGACTGTGGATCCTAACGGAGGTCAGGGAGGACAAACGGACAACACCGCCAATCCTGACGGAGGACAAGAACAGAAGACTGTGGATCCTAACGGAGGTCAGGGTGGACAAACGGGCAACACCGCCAGTCCCAATGGAGGACAAACGGACAACACCGCCAATCCGAACGGAGGACAAGAACAGAAGACTGTGGATCCTAACGGAGGTCAGGGAGGACAAACGGGCAACACCGCCAGTTCCAACGGAGGACAAACGGACAACACCGCCAATCCTAACGGAGGACAAGAACAGAAGACTGTGGATCCAAACGGAGGTCAGGGAGGACAAACGGGCAACACCGCCAGTTCCAACGGAGGACAAACGGACAACACCGCCAATCCTAACGGAGGACAAGAACAGAAGACTGTGGATCCAAACGGAGGTCAGGGAGGACAAACGGACAACACCGCCAATCCCAACGGAGGAGAAGAGGACGGAGGACAAGGAAACAAGAACTCCTCGAAAACTGGCGACCAACCGCAAGACGGCTCGAAAGGTGGGCAACAACAAGGAGGGCAAGAACAGAAGACCGTAGATCCCAATGGAGGAGGCGCATCAACGACTACCGACACCTCTGGCAGCAACGGGAATGAAGAAAAGACCACTGACACCTCTGGCAGCAACGGGAATGAAGAAAAGACCACTGACACCTCTGGCAGCAACGGGAATGAAGAAAAGACCACTGACACCTCTGGCAGCAACGGGAATGAAGAAAAGACCACTGACAACTCAAATGACGGCGGAACTAAAACCACCGGCACTGGATCCGACAACGACCAGACCGACAAATCAAACGGGCAACAGCAAAAGAGTTCAGGCAGCAACGGCGGAGGATCATCATTGCAGACCGGCCAGGACCCGAAGGACTCGAGCTTGAACGAAGAGAAGACCGCTGACCCAAATGACTCTGAGGGATCTTGTGATGCTAGTCAGGAGAAGGACAACACTGAATCTACCGACACCAGCGGTAGTGGATCGGGATCCGGCAAGGAGTCATCCTCCTTGAAAACAACTAGTGAAGGCTCGGAATCTACCGACACTAGCGGTAGTGGATCGGGATCCGGCAAAGAGTCATCCTCCTTGAAAACGACGAGTGAAGGCTCGGAACAACCCGCGCCAGGCACAGCTACCGATCAAGGTGAGCCTCTCTATTTTACCCTTTGATCCCCCATTCACCCCTCTTTCCTCACCTTTATCAATACTAACAGCAAGTGAAACTCCCTCAATTTAGGCCAGAAAGACTCCGGCGTGACCACCACCCCGGCCTAATTTCCAGGAAATAATCCAGCCCCCGTGATTCCCGCTCTTCTGGTTTCTAGCTGATGATGAACATGTTGACAACCCTCTGATGAAACATTCAGTTCCTTCTTTTTTTGTTGTATATGTACCTCCTTTACCAAGTCAACCATGAACTCATTCTTTTGTACACGACACACATACTGTCAGTTCTATATTTAAGTGAACCCAAAGAAGAAGAAAAAGGCAAAAATTGTGCATATAATCTCTTTTGTAAAAATCCTAAACTTGTGCATACTTACTTACCGCTTCTCAGGAAACCAAAATTTACACATAAGAAGAATAATACTTGAAGTATTCGACTGTCTGACAGTGAAATTGGATTTTGTTCGGTTCTTAATCGAGTTCTACTCTGACTTGATTTTACACTCAAGGTGAACCAAAAGGATGAGGGGCGAGATATTCGCAAACGTCTTTTGGTCACGTTTGCTGCTATCAGAAAACCCCTCCCGTGCACCAAAGCGTGTGCCTCCAAAATGCATGCCTTATAAGATCCAACACAATTGACTCGATTCATTTCGGTTGATAGAAAGAGTAGTGGAACATGTTTGCTTGTAGTACCATCCGAATGTCAATTATCTGATTCAGAATTAATTCAAAGTATTTGAACCTTGGCTTCTTCTTCTTGTTACATGTCCAACGGGATGTGTTCATCGTCTCTTTTCTTGTGGAGTGTGATTTGCTTTTGAAAAGAGGTGGGCGGCTGATTACGTAGCTTGTGCTCATAACAAGGTTGATGAAGTTCTGATGAGGAAATGTAGCAATTTGATGAGTGAGGAGTGATCGGAGTGAAGCTGTTGTTATAGATTTTCACAGCAGCCAGTCGAAGTGCCGCACCATGCAAATTTCATTTTCGCACTCAACCTATTTAAGTTGGATAAAGCACCTCTTCTTCCTTCAGGAATCAATCATCTGGTCGGAACCGAATACTTTACTGATCGACCACGTGGAGCGGGATAACTGAATTAAGGTCAGTCTGACGATTTGCATTACATCGAAATATGTCATCCCGATGATTTGAATGGTCACTGATTCTGTGACCGATGCACATTTTGGATGTTAACAATGCAGAACAAGAATTGGGATTGGTAGCCAGTCAAACAAATTGTAGACAAAAGTATTTGACCAGTCGATACATAAAATAACTATCAAGGTGAATGGGATAACACCGGCTTGGTTGACACTCCCGGCGATCTATCTCCACAGACAACCACATACTCGTTGCACACTTCAAGTCAGCGGCAGCCGATTCCCCCCTCAGACCGACGAATGACTCACGCAGCCCACTCGCAAAGCCTCAAGATAATCATCAACCACCCGAATAAGGACTCAGGAAGACTCGTGAGGAAGGACCAGGATCGGAAAAAAAACTAATATTACCTCAGGATGCTTCGGACCTCTAACCCCGCAATCATTCGTCATCTGCCTCGAATAGGATGTCAGTGTGGCATTCCAAACCTCAGCTCGCCTAACCGTTTTTCCAGTCATTCAAACGCAAGTTCCTACAAAACCTCGGCCTCTTCAAGTGGTTCAATTCGGAAATTCGAAGGAAACGGAAACTGTCGTGTGTGTTGTCTTGCTTTTTTGAAAAAAAAAAAAAATGAATAAACCATACATAAACCAATCAGGACTCATCGAAAATCTGTCCTATATGAATTCAGGTGTTCAATTCTATTACCAATATAATCCATCAACGGACGCCGTTTCTGTCAATAGGCACTCGAAGGAAATTCTCGGACAAGAATGATAGAGGCAAGCAGATGGCTCAAATTTTTCCCAAACATCCGTTCAAGTGAATAACGTGGCAAAAGGCCTTGCAAATCTCTTTGTACCCCACCAGGCTCCACCTCGATCAATCCCGCCTCCCCGAAAGCCACCAACCCCAATTCATCCACACCAACCCACAAAGAAGATTGGAAAATTATTAGGCATCTTTTGCCAAACATCTGGCCAAAAGATGACCGTACTACCAAGATCAGAGTGGTGACTGCACTAGTCCTTCTAGCTGGTGGGAAGGTACATCTGATTTATTGATTGAGATCAAAACAGGAAATATTGACGGCTTCATGATATCTACTCGATCAGATTCTAAACGTTCAAGTACCATTCATGTTTAAATATATTATCGACACTCTCTCTATTCCACTCGACCCCAATACGGTTCAAGGTGCCTGGACAGTGGTAGGTACCGTGATAGCTGGATGTACGTACTTATGTTCTCCATCAATGTCATTTTTCTACAGATCCTCCATTAATCAATGTGAATTTTCTTATGTTCCTCGCTTGGTATGGATCGCAGATGGACTGGCAAGAATATCCGCATCGGTATTCTCGGAATTGAGGAGTGCGATCTTCACCAATGTAGCTCAGTCGGCGATCAGAAGAGTTGCTCGGAGCGTATTCATTCATCTACTTAACGTGGATGTCGGCTTTCACTTACGGAACCAAACGGGTGGTCTAACCAGAGCCATCGACCGAGGCACCAAGTTCGTCAATTCAGTTCAAAGCGCTTACTGTTTTAAGCAAAGTCTCGCTGTTCACGGAACTAATTTGTCACTGTAGAGGTGTTTCCTTTATGCTTTCTTCAATCGTCTTCCATGTCGTACCAACAGCTTTAGAAATCAGCATTGTCTGCGGTGTCCTTGTCAGTCAACCTCATTCCTACTCAAAGTCTAATCAACTGGAGACCTTGGTGCTCTAGCATTCACCATCCTCTCTTTCTAGACCTACAACTTTGGAGCCAACTACGCCGGAATTGCTTTGGCTACGATGCTGGCTTATACTTGGTTTACTATCCGCACGACCGCTTGGCGGTCAGTTTTCAGTTTTCTGTTGATACCCGAAGCGAAAAAATTTAACTGATATCATACGGCAATCGGACTGGAAAGGCTCCAATTCCGAAAACGAGCGAACGAAGCTGACAACCGTGCAGCTAGCGTACTGATCGACTCATTATCCAACTATGAAACTGTCAAGCACTTCAACAACGAGGCCTACGAGATCGAACAGTATGATCGAGCACTGGAAGGATACGAGAAAGCGACGATAGGAATTTACAAGAGTTTAGCGTACCTGAACATTGGCCAGAGTGTAATCTTTTCACTCTCATTAACGGCGATGATGTATATGGCCGCACAGGGAGTCTTGAATGGTCTCATGACCGTTGGAGATCTGGTGATGATTAATCAATTGGTATTTCAGCTTAGCTTGCCGCTAAACTTCTTAGGTTCAATCACTTCGGCTTCAAATCCACCCCCTCTCCTTGTTTCAACAGTTAAATTATCCATTGGTTTTCTGATCCTGTAGGGTCGGTTTATCGAGACCTTAGACAGAGTCTAATCGACATGCAAACCCTTTTCAATCTACAGCAAACTGGCCTCATCATCAAAGTCAATGAGTCAAACATTAAGGACAATTCAACTGTTTTTAATCGGAAATGCTTGGCTTACCCAAAGTTTTTTTTCCTCTTGTTTTTTTTTTTTTTGGAAACCTAGGACAAACCAGATGCTAAACCTCTTCAAATCACCCAAGGTGGAGAGATCAGATTTGAAAATGTCTCATTCCAGTATTCGTCTTCCGGGGCAATTTTCAAAGACCTTTCGTTTGTGATTCCAGCGGGAAAGAAGGTAGCCTTAGTAGGGCCATCAGGATGTGGAAAGTCGACGTTATTCAAGCTATGTTTCAGGTTTTACGATATTGATCAAGGACGGATCTTGATTGACTCGCAAGATATTCGAGATGTCAGCTTGGCCAGTCTTCGGTCACACATCGGGATCGTCCCGCAAGACTCGAGCCTTTTCAACTCAGATGTGATGCATAACATCCGTTATGGTAGACTTGGCGCGCGTGATGAGGAGGTGCAAAAAGTTGCCAGAATGGCCAAGCTCGACCGATCCATCGGGAAGTGGCCCTCCGGTTGGGACACTCTTGTTGGCGAACGGGGCCTCATGATCAGTGGTGGTGAACGCCAGAGATTGGCTATCGCACGCTCGATGCTCAAAGATCCCTCAATCCTCTTCTTTGATGAAGCCGTGTGTAGTCTCCCTTTTCCTCATCCCTCACGCACAATACCATTCATGATCGTAACTTCCATCGTTCGAGTCATAGTCTGATCTAATTCTTCTTACGCCAAATCTATAGACTTCCGCTCTAGATGTGTACACTGAACGAGAATTGATCCGGAACATCGGAGAAAACTTGCTCAACAAACATCGCACCAGTGTCTTCATCGCTCATAGGTAAAAATCCAGCCCCCTAGAGTCAGAGAATCAGGTGCGAAATTGACTTGTCGGAGATTGATGATTTTTTTTTGTTTGCAGATTAAAGACAATTGCAGATGCAGATTTGATCATTGTGCTCAATGATGGCAAAGTAGTCGAACAAGGAAATCACAGAGAGCTAATGAACATTGAGAATGGAACTTACAGAGGTGCGTCCTAACGGCTGTTTTTTTTTTTTCGGGGGGGGGGGATCTCCAAACAAATAATTGATCAACTGATATGTTTTTTCTCTTGGTTTATACTATATATTCTTGACTTTTTGAAGGCATGTGGCTCAGTCAATCTGCCACCCCTCCCGAGAACTCAAAAGTCAATGTCGATAACAAGATCGAATCTTAGTGCTCAACACTTGGAAAATCATCTCACAGTTTATTAGAAAGAAAGGAAACAAATGCGCATGTTTCTCGCACTTGGTTTCAAAAATCTGTTCCCTGAAGCTTTTATTTATACATCATCATCGAAGAAGAAGCATTATCATTATTTCAGAAGTGACGGGAATATGCGTAAAAATGTTCATTTTAAGTATCAGGTTTGGTATATGCATTGTATATGTAGTTTTGAGGAAATATTACCTGTTATTTTATGGTTTCTCTAACAATTCCATCTCGTCATTACCGAATAATCTTCAACCTAATTCGTAAAAACACAAACGCGCAGTACAGTCTGGCGCAAATTGTATGCGCAGGTGAGGCATGATGGGCGAACAGAGTTCCCAAGTCATATTTATAACTTCCATTCCACAGAATATTTTGGGCAGGGCAACATACAATATTTCCATAGTGGATTAAGGAAGTGTTACAAAATGAAGCGTGAACTTGAAGAAATGTAGGTTTGGTTATAGTGCAATGTGGGCTAGTTGAACGTGTCTTCATCACTATTATTTGGATTTATTTACAGTTTATTCACATGTTAAACTTTAATGTCAAGTATCCTTGGATAGAACGCAATTCGTGTGTTATTGAGGGGGGTTGGCGACGTCGGATACGAAATTGCACATGTTGTGGTAATCCCCCATTGCGAGCCTCTTCCCACCAATAGCTGGATCCTATGATCACATTTCAAAGCCAGATACCCGTCAGTTCTTAGGGGAACCCCAATTGGAGAGGATAAATATAAAGTGTTTCATCAGACATACCAGCTTATCCATGGCGGTTGGCACACAACAAGCTGCAACTTTGGAGTATTCGTTGTTAACCTTGATCTTAGCACACGTGAAGCTACCTCGAGAGCTGGAGTAAGCGGGCGTCACTGCAGCAACAAAGAAAAGAAAAAGAGAAGTGTTAACATGTCAAGAATTTTGATTGGCCCATATAATGTGAGGGCAGATAAGACGCACTGATCATGGTAGCTCTACCCCCGTTCTTGTCCTCAACTCCACAGCCACCGTATGACTTTTCTCCGGGACATGGAAATTTTGCGGACGTAATTCCAACCAGGACCATCATCACCGCCAGAAGGTTGGATTGATAAAGCTGCATGGTCAAACGTGGGCGTCTTGGAAGGTGCAGTACTGATTTTTCTTTGGATGCAAAGACTTTTATAAGAGTCTGATGGTATTTAATGACAATGAGAAGGGAAGCGCTGGGGTTTATGTTTGAATGGGATTTCAATGATAGGGCCACGGGCAGATGAGCCTTTATAGGATTGTGAACATCTTCTGAGGCTCCTGAGGGAACACAGCAACAAGAATCGGAAACTGCAGGCGGTGTATAAGATGTGTAGGTGGGACCTTGCCAGCCGAATGACATAAACCCAGTGAAGCACTCGCATGTGACACACAACAGGAATGGAATGCCACGAAAAGAGTACCACGTCTGATGCCGACGAAAAGGGTCGGATTATATGAGGACCATCGTGGCATCGCCGTCCTATTTGATCTGATTCTTGAAACCGCTGAAAACGGGTCGTCCGCCGAGCTCAAAAGAAAAAGAAAAGAAGATGAGCATGCCTAGCTCTGCCCTTGTGCCAAAACTCGGGAGTGTCCTTCTTGAATCTACTAATTGAGGACCGGATCTTCGGCCGGTGGGCTGAAAGCGATTTGGGGATGTCCCATCTAGGCAGCGCACTCGAGTCGCGTGTTTGTTGTTTGGGACCCTGACAAAAAATCAAGTCTGACATCCGAACGTACCAGCTGGATTTGTTTACGCTGAAGGTAATCAGCCAGATGTCAACACAGCTGCGGTAGTGCAATTCTCTTCCCTGAGGCTGGGCTAAACAGGGTTAGAAATCACACTATATTAGCCCCCCAAGCTTCGTCTGCCGAATTGCATGTCGTGGCTCAAGTGTGTGCCTGAACTCATCTTAAAGACTATGCCTCTATCAACCGTATACCCAGCAGCAGAATGGTCGAAGGTGAACCCACATTGAAAGCCTACCCAACAATCTATAAAGTGGAAAATGCGTCCAACTGACCGGCTATCTTTTAAACATCATGATGGGCTTGGCACTCAAAGTGGTGTTAGGAATGGAACCATCAATGACTAGAGTGGAAATCTGCCAGACGCTTGGATTGAGTATGACGGTTTCATTCTACTTCCCCAGATAATCTCAGGCATGGGAGTGAAGCTGGTAGACAACAAGATCGCGAAAGCCATGAACAAGAACTTCAACTCTTTGTGAAAATTTCGATTTCTGGGTGAATCACAGAAGAGTTGGAGGAACATTCAGGTTAACTTGATTCATATTTTGACACTGGGCGCTTAAACAAGCGTACATTTGGAGGGTTTGGAAGGCCCACCCTTGGACGCAGAAATAATTATCAGATCAGGTACTGTCCGAAATATGAAAAAATTGTCACCAAGAGATTGGGAACTCAATTGTAGCCTGACTGACCAAGCGGTGTCCTTGAGGTCGGTCCAGCTGATCCCAGACTCCCACTGCCCAGTGTTTTTCGAGTATCACAGATCGGAGTCGGTTTCCCTTGTCTTGCTGGTTATGTGGAAGTATGGAAACGAGCAACCGAAAACTCGGTTTCAACACACATTGCTCAGACTCCGCAGAGACAATCAACCTTCACTCATACCGACGCATACTTCACGTCATCTACTACTTGATCCTTCTTCTTTTTTCGCAATCTCAGCGAGTTTCTTCAGGCCTATGGTCTTCGATTGTCGACAAAGTTTCACGTTAACAGTCTCCTGTAGTGGAGGACTGGGATGCCAACGGGAGTTTGATGAGATGCATAGCCGGTCGTCGCGCTATTACCAGGTGAGCTGATGACTCCTTTCACTTTTGTCTACTCGGGAGTCGGGACGACTCATACATGTACCTCAGCCTGTCAAGCAAACTGGCCTCAAAAAATGAAAAAGGGCACATCGACTGCCTCGCAGCGTCATTAAATGTCTGATCCATAGTTGAGCTAGGTTGAACTGGAAGGCGTTTCCTTGGCAATGGTTCAAATGTTACAATTAACCGAATCGCCTCAAGTGTAGGCTCCTGGAGCAGAATGGCGACGGATGTCGTCCTTGCTGTGTTTCAAAGAGAAAGAGACCTGGTTGTGAGGAGTTGAATATCTTGATCGCGCCCAACGATCAGATTTAAAAGCAGCCCAATCTTTACATTATTTCCTGCTGCTCCTTCACTCAACACTTTCCTCATCTTTGTGCATTTCTAAATACTTACTTCTTCACAAGCCTCAACTGTTAGAATAGATTCAGGCTCACTAACCCTCAATTGTCTGCGTACCTTGCAAGCTTAGATCTTTGCAGCAGCCTACGAAATTAGATACCTCAATAACTTGCAATGCAGCTTGTATCGGTTGTGTTATTTTCCTGGACGGCTCTTTTGTTTGGAGTGCTGGGTGATGACCCAAAAAAACTACTTTTCAAATGTAACGACTTGACAGCTCAACAAGGTCAAGATAAAACAGCTGGGTTGTGTGGCGTAAATATAAAGGACACCCATGGTGTTACACAGATTAAATTAAGTGAGGATTTCCTTTCATATATTTCAACAATGGGTCCATTGATAGATCTAGCAGCTGTATTCTTTGCTGATGTAATTGATTATTTCCTGACATTAACATGTCTGCAATTTGTAGTTGCTATGGCTACAAACACCAATACAGATAAAGGAGCACCCCCAATCTACACTTGCTTTGGAACTAATGCAGAAAATAATTATTGTTGTAAGACTGAAATAAAAATTAACAATGTGAGTATGAGTATATTCTACTTCTTGCTGTAAATTTGAAATTTGGTGTATTGATTGAATCCCAACTCTTCAACTTCAATTTTAAAAGAATCAACCTGTGACTCTCAGTTATGATGATGGTACAAGTAAAAAGTGTGTTCGCAAGACAGCAACAAATTAATTATGGAACCCATAATTAGTTTTCAAAATGCAGCGGAGACAATCCTTTTTGCTTAATTCATAAATTCAAATTGTGAATCAGAATTGCATTTTAACTAAACATCTTCCTCAGCAAGCTGATTTTCATTTTCACTTACTATCAAATGTTCATGCTGCAGATTTTTCTCTTCAAAAATATTTCCTCCTGTACATTATCCATTCCATCATGTGAAAATTTTGTTCCATCTTTTCCATTCAGATTCATGGAAAAAGTTTCTGTTCTTTCTTAAATAGTTGTTTTGATTGTTCTTCAACTGTGTAGATATTTTTTGATTTTTTCTTGTTTCTTCACAAATCAAATTTGTGTGAAAAATGATCAATTTACATGTATTGTCTGATTTGTTGATAATCCAAAAGAGATTCAAAACTCTGACTAAAGTAACAGTGAATCATTGAATTTTATAGAGATGGTCTCTGGATATCTGTTATGCACTGGCGGATATGCGCCAGCTGGTGTGGATTCAGGTGCGGATGGCCCCTTTTCCCCAAAACCCTGGCAGATATCCGGGTATCCCCAAGGATACCCAAGGCCAAGAGGATGAGATGGCCGGCTGGAAGGGTTTCCTTCCAGCCGGAAAGCAGCCGGAATCCGGCCCCAGCATTGATAGCATAGAGCACTTTCTCTTGGAGCTCCGCCTTGGTCTGATACTTGGGCAACTTCAACAGATTGACACAGGTTGAGGCCGACGGTAGCCGACTGCAATCAACACGGGAAGACGGGATCACAAAGGACGGCCACAGCTCCTTGAAGCCTAAGAGTGGTGGCCTTGCACATGAGGTCACAAATCTGAGTAGTTTCTGTTTTGTCAGATCATCAAACTCTCTCAAGACCTTCCAAAGCTGTTTTTTTATTATCAAAAAAAAGAAGGAAATAATAAATTGAGTTTTGTGTGACAGGAGAACCTTTAGAGCAACCACATTTGTGGTTGGATTAAGGCAGGATTAGTGCAACTACTCCGAGCTAGTCTGAGCCTTCAACTGTATTGGTCCAATTTAATTGGACTAAACTAATCCCGGTGTGGTAATTAAATATGTAAAAAATTCAAAGTTTTTCCTTTATATACATTTTTCTCATACATTCACTCAGAAATCAACCAATATGGCTTCAGAAATGGACTCTACGGACAATTTCAGCCTAGGTCACCACTGGACACATCATTGGAAACCTCAAGGATTGGAAGTTACACCCCTACGGATGCATATCACAAAGCCAATACCCAGTCAAGCACATGTCACAACCCTCAATTCACCTCTCAGTTATGCTTATACACAGCTCACGGTATACACATAATTTCCCACACCTCTTTATCTCCACTGCATAAATTAGTTTGGTTCTATTTGTTACCTCATGCACTGCCTTTGCAGGCTGCGCAGTCTTGATCAAATTACTTTTCCCACAGTTTATTAATTTTATCACCTCACTTATGACAACAGCTGGTTTTTTCCCACAATTTATTGCCTCATTTGACACTTTCTCACATTATTTACGCACTGCAGCACAGCCTTTGACATTAATTGTACACAGCCTCACTGGTTAATTTCCCTCACTTGCATGATCAGACTAGCTAAATTCACTCATTTGTACCTACAGGCCAGCTAAAATCACTCTTTCTTGTCTGCCCTGAAGCTCAATTCCCTCACTTTTTTCTATAAAGGGAGGCTCTCTTCCCCCCATTTGTTGTCTCCTCAGTTCATTCACTCAGTTCATCACTCAGCATTAAATCAATATATAACCTACCAGTTACAAACAATTATATAAACCTTTCACCTGTTACACAACATAACAGTTTCTTTTGTAAGCAATTATATATCCAACCTTTAACTTTCATCAAACAAAGTTTTACCGGAACCGACCAATCCTATCACGTTATCAAAACTTTCCAAGCTAAGCTTGGGGGTCTTGTTTCTGATAGTATAGAAGGGCAGAGTTTGCACCTCCATTTTTCCCCTTCTCAATTCAGCAAAAGGGTTTCACAACCACTTTTGAGTCTTACACCGGAGTAGGATTTGAGCTAAGCAAGAGTAAAGTTACTCCTTGCTAATCCTGGGATTAAGAGCCAATCGGCACACTCAACATGCGTGGGACCCTGGCTACTCCCAGGTTTACACCACACTAATGTGGTTGCCAATGCCAACCCGGACTAGCACTAATCTGAGATTAAGCTACTCTGCTCATCCAAAACTTACACCCATACCGATGCGGTTGCTCTTAATGCTTCAGGAAAAATAATAATGAGAAGCAGATATAAACTGACAATTCTGATCATCGGATGTGACTTGTCCCAGCTCCCATAAATGGTCCACTGTTGCATATCATTGATATTGAGATCCTGGTCATTAAATGGTCCACTGTTGCATATCATTGATATTGAGATCCTGGTCGTTGAGCCCGCCAACCAAGACCTTCAGTTCAAGCTGATTGAACATCATCAACCACTACAACTCAATGATATTGTTGAGCCCCTTGAAGAATGCCGCACACTGGCTCTCAAGCTGGATTTTCAACTTGTAGTTCAACATCAGATAGATGTAGTTGATCCGGTTCTGTGCCGTCACTGATGTCTTCAAACCTTCTGGGATCAGCTCAATTGTTTCCAACACGTCAAATTCATTGTTTGTCACTGTGAAGTTTAACAATAGGTCTGCTTCTATGCCTCCCTTGTGATATTTCAGAAATATCAAGCCTTGGTAGAACTCGGGATCCAATGATGCTAGATCATCAAGATATGACTGTTGATATCAAACCTCAGTCACCACAGAGAGAAAGAACAAGAAAAACCTTATAAATGAATAGTTCTCATCAAAAAGTATATACCTGCTTGCCTAGGCATTTATTAAGGAAGAAATCAGCAAAATTGATGTTGATAAGGATGCCTTTGTACAAAGCTTTACCAAGGACCCTTCCCAAGAATTTTTTCCAGTTCAAGCTGAGGGGCTGACAACTATAGCTATGAGGATTAGGATAGATCTCCTGATTTTTTTGGACCAACCAAAGAGCTTTGTTAATTTTGAAGACTTCTTTAGTCAGACTAGTCAGGAACTCCTTGAACACTCAACCACCATTGATGCCGGCCTCTACCTCGCCAGCTGGAAGGAAAATATTCCAGCCAGCTGCCTCACCGCCCATTTAAAGGGCAGGTATCCGTGGATACCCGCCAGCGGGTGCGGATGCGGATGCAAACGTTGTAACCGCTCCGCTGCAGATAGTGCAGTGCAGCAGTGAGCGCAGAGGTTTTTCTTGCCACTGCGCTGCAATGCAGTGTAGCAGTCAGGCCAATGCCGCTTCCGCTATTCCAAATCCCCAAGAAAAAAATTGTATTGTAGCGCGCTAAAAGAAGTGGCCATGTAGCGGCTAACCTCTAAAATCAGCGGTAGCACAGCGTGAAACCTCTAAAATCAGCGGTAGCGCAGCGTGAAACCGCTGATTTCAGCAGTAGCGCAGCGGAAAAAACGGCTTATCTACATAAATAAATGGGGCGAAAAAACACTTTCAAACTAGAAGTAATTATCAATAATCAATATTTTTTTGGTTTTTATAGGTTAGAACTTAGTAATAGAGGGGAATGAGCTCAAGAAAAGAGAAGAAAAAATATCACTAGCATTTTTTTGATTTTTTGTTTAGAGAACTTTGTAATTGAGGGGACAGAGCTCAAGAAAAGCCAAGAATTGATATGACTTGGGTGCTGTACCAATTGCAATCTGCACAGCTTCGGGCAGCCAGTGCAGCCTGTAGAGGTGGGCACCCCATTTAGCGGTCAGAAGCGCCCATTTGAGGGTTGTGCGCTGCACTGCGCTATTTTGCATCTTTAGCGCCATTTTTTCTGCTGCGCTAACACTGACCTCTCTCCAGATGAAGCGGCAAACCTCTAAATCTAGCGCTAGCTGAAGCGGTTTTTCAACAGCTTCCGCTGAATGCCTCTGGGACATAGTGGCTTGACTGCTGCCAACGGTGGGCCGCTACGCTACACTACGCTAAATGGCCCACTAACGTTAGCGTAGCGGCCCTCAGAACAGCGCGCCAAACCTGTAGTGTTAGCGCGCTGTTAGTGCCACTACGCTACGCTACGCTGCGCTACAGCGCTTTTAGCGGCCAAAACGGCCAAAAAACCGCTAAAATGTGCTGTAGCGCAGCGTAGTGGGCCCTTTTTTGCGGCCCACACGCGTAGCGTTAGCGCAGATACAGAAATCTGCGCTAACACTACGCTACAATGTAGCGTATTTGCGCTACACTACGCTAGGCTAACACTACCGTTAGCGTAGCTGGCCCAGCGTTGCTGCTGCGCTGTGCTAAATGGCTGCTTTTTTTAGCGCAGCGCAACAGTTACAAAATTGTGGATGCCCCATTCCACTGAAAAACGGAGGGGATATGTTGGACTCAACTGGGTCAGAGAAAAGGTTTTGTGGAAGGATAAGATGTATTGCATCAGCAGAGAGAAACAAAACATAGAGAAAGACAAAAAAAGGAAGAAAAGAAAAGAGAGAAAAAGAGAACCTGGGTCAGAGAAAAGTTTTTGTGGAAGGATGAGGAGAGGAATCCTTCCACGTACTCTGGCCCAGGTATAGTCTGAATCCTGTGACAGGTGGGTGACAGTTCTGAAACAGGTATGAAGCAGAGAAAGAGACCCAGGTATAGTCTGAATCCTGTGACAGGTGGGTGACAGTTCTGAAACAGGTATGAAGCAGAGAAAGAGAAAGGAGAAAGAAAACACTACTCCAACAGGATATCCGCATCCAGGAGGATATCCGGATGGTGCGGGGCCATCTCTAGAATTTATTTTAGCTAATTTTTAGGCTGAATCAAAATAAATCAAAAAACCATGTCACAGGGGGTATCAAATAAAATAAATGCACCAACAAAACCAGTTATCTCTATCAAAAGAAATCTAAATTCAACTGAAACAATAGGCCCAGAGAGACAAAAAATTGACTTGGCTCATGAAGTGGGTGTTAAACTTCAATTCACCATTGTATGTATAAGATTTTTGTGTGGCTTATAAGAGCAACTCAACCGCAAAGTGTAAACCACAGTTGTAAATCTTCTGTTGGAATTTCACTTTTGATCTCCATCTCTCTTTTCCCCATCATATTTCACTTGTTTGTCACTGTTATCCTTGTCTCATTTTTTATTCATTGTGCATCAAGATCTGCTCCCACAACTGGTGAATTTTCTATCTAGATTTTTAAGACACTCAGAAATGAATAATCATCATTCCTTGATTTACTTGATAATGAGGTGACAGTTTAGGCTCCCTCAGTCTCATATTGAGAGCACTTAAGCCCTCTAAAATAAGTATACAAGTCACTTTTTTCAGACTTTTTCTGCTATTGGGTTGGCCAATCTTTCCCCCATTTATCCTCAAATTTCCTCACCTTGTTTACACTTCAAAATCCAAACCCCTGCCCCACCTGGGGATGCAAATTGGGATGTAAAAATTTTTTGGGTGAGTGTTGTTCTTGATACCCTCTCTATCAGTATCCAGAACTTGGAAATAGTTCCTCCATGCTCACAGGGAAAAAGCACCATCCCTTGAGTGAGGGGCTTGAGTATAATGTCCCACATTTTGCTTGAGACTCATTCATTGCCCTCAACTTCTCTGACTCATTGGTTGACTCTACCAGGGTACTGCCTGCTTTTTTGCCCAAAAGTGGGCACCAAGTACCGCAACCGGGGCCTGTTGGCGGGTACCGGAAGAGTGGAGGCATTACCCGCCAACAGGTCCCGGGTACCGCAAGGCCATCTTTACATAGTGGCCTGGCACCATTGATTCAAGTCAACTCTTGTCAGCCTATGTGATGCCAAGACACGTGTCCTCTAGCTACACATGGTGAAAAAAGTAAGAGTTTTTATGGCAAAAACTCTGGGATAGGACTGGTACAAGTAATTCAAAAGAGTTACGTAGAATTTATGGATTAAATCCAAAAAGTGGCCAATTTATATTAATAAAATTAATATAAATAAAACCAGAGGGGTCTGATAAATCAGGGGTGGTTTAATCCCTCTAAGGTATCTTGCAAAAAGCAGAGGATTTAGGTACCTGATACACTGGGGCCTGTAGCAGGTGTGGTTTAAATCCCAGGAGATAATTTTAGGGGGAAAATCTTGAAGAAAGGGTTATTACTTACTAGTAATAATCCAAAGGGTTCTTGAGGATCTTCTTGCTAGAAACAGGACAGTTGGGAGCACTCAGAATGGTTGATTTTGGGTTCTGCGTGATAACTGGGGAGTTTCTTGAGGAATCTTGAGGCTTAATAACAGTAAAAATAGTAATAACTAGGCTAATTACAAGTGTAGGGGACTTGTAAATGGTAAGTATTTTTCTATATAGTATTTTAAAGCTGGGGGATAATTATTTGGGCGGTCAGAAGGCCCTTTAAATACCTGTGGAAGGCCTCAGGGGTTGCTCAGGGGAGCTTAGTAGGACTTGGGGGCGCTTTTGGGCCCACCTGGTGATGTAACCAGGGCTGGAACCTTGGGGATACTATTCTAGAAGCTTCCAGAGTTCATGCAAAAAATTATTACAGCCAAGAATGTCCCATGGGAACCTGTGGATAGGGGCTACTCTGTTATGGGGAGCAGTTTCCCTGGAAATGGGCCACAGAATATTCCAGAGGTGTCTTCTGGGGCTTGCTACACTTGTTACCCATTGGAATATGGTTACTGTAGTATTTTAATGGATATTCTAGCTTGTTTACATTCTTATTACACGTGTGAGGGCTTTGTTGTCACGTGCAATGGGGATTCTGGGGGTTTTGTGGCCCATTCCTTGGATACTGGTGCGCAGCATGACTACGTGGCGTGTGGGCTTGGAGACAGGACTCCACACTGCTCTATCTTCTAAACCATACACAATACTCCAATTCTGAGACTGGATTTGTGTCAGGTTGTGGTTCTGCTTTTCATGGCTTTATCATAACTACTGGTGTCACACTATTATGTGACCTGTCATTTACACCACGGGACCATTCTGATGTCCCATGGACACTCTTCTGGACATCATCTGAGCTGTCCAGAACTTGCATGTCGGAGAGTGTCCATTGGACACTACTCTGCCTGACAGTTTGCGGTTGTTTTCTGGAAAACTGTCCACTGGATAGTTTTCAAGCTGTCCACTGGATGCTTTTTTTTGCAATGAAAAGAAAAAAATGAGTACCCTCAGATTTGAACCCATGACCTTGTGGAGGCCCCACTGCAAATCCTCAAAGCTTGTCCTTACTGACTACACTACACAGAATCGTTCTTGCAAGCAAACCCAAATTGTTGTTTATAGACCAAATTTGCACTTTGGAGTAAGCCACTTCACAGCCTTTTTCATGATCAAGTGCATTTGTAGAGATTTATTTGACAATCACATCACTTGCACTTTTGGAGTGTTTTTCGACGATCAACCGCACTTTTGGAGTGTTTTTTCGACGATCGACTGCTTTCTTGGAGCTTTTTTCTACCATTGACCGCACTTTTGGATCTTTTTTTGACTATTGACCACCAGCTCCAATTGGAAATGTTAAATCAGTGTCCAATGGACAAACTAAAAACCACCACCCATCGGACCCTCTTGGTTGGAGAGTGTCCGATGGACGATAAATCCTAGTGTCCATTGGACGCTTCATATTTGGCCAGCGTCACTTGGATGCTTTTGGAAGCATCCAAGTGATGCTGGCTGGCCAGAGCGTCCCTTGGACGCTCTGATCGCATCCGTTGGACGCTCTCTTCAGGAAAGCGTCCAGTGGATGGGGCCAGTTTCAAAAAACTCTCCCCGTGGTGTACAGGTCTAACCCTCAATTAGGGCCTTTTCTAGAGATGGGCGGGGATAATCCGTTGCGGATATCCGCTATCCGCTGGCGGATACCCGCCAGTGCCAGGGGATATCCGCTGGCGGGTGCAGATTCGGGTGCGGATGCCCCCTTTTCCGTGAAATCCCGGCGGATATCCGGGTATCCCCAAGGATACCCGAGGCCGGAAAGAGGAGATGGCCGGCTGGAAGGGTTTCCTTCCAGCCGGCGAGGTACATGTACCTTGCTGACCGGAAGGATTTCCTTCCAGTTGGCGAGGTACATGTACCTCGTCGGCTGGAAGGGTTTCTACCTCGTCGGCTGGAAGGAAACCCTTCCAGCCGGCTGCCTTGCCGCCAAGTTAAAGGGCGGGTATCCGCGCGGATATCCGCCAAAACCAGGGGATATCCGCCAGCGGTTGCGGTTGCGGATGCGGATATCAAATTCTGCTGAAATCGTGAGCGGATATCCGGATTCACAGTGACCATCTCTATAAGCCTTTTCTAGTGACATCAGTAGAATCATTGACCCACCTGCAGTCATTCATATCCAAGCATCCTTACACCACGGACAATTGGATGTCGGTCCCGCGCGGAGCGACATCTGGGGGTTTCATTGGGGGTTTCGTGCGCAGTGACTGCGCCTACTGCCGCAGTCACGCACGCGGATTTGTCAAGGTGACGCTTACATGGGGAGCAACACCCAAATGACAGTGGTGTTAGTACAGTGGTTAGTACACTTGACATGTATATGAGAGACATGGGTTCAACTCCCATAGGACACATAATATTTTATGGAGTTTCACCTTTTGGAGTATATGCATTATGCATTATGCAGAAGTTTCACAGTACCCGTGATCTGGGGGTACCTGTTAGTTATTCATGCATGTATTACAGGGTGAAGGAGTTAGAATTTGGGGTACCTTTGGCTGAGGTACCCTGGGTTAAATTGTATGCGGATTCAGAATCTGCAATAATAATTAAGGTTTTCTTTATACTTTTTAAGTTAGGGCATTAATAAAAAAACCCGGTTTTTCCGTGTTTAGACGCGGTTTCTGCTGCGCGCAGCACACATGGTTTCCGCATTTAGACACGGTTTTGTATTTAATTTTTTATGGCTTATTTTTCGAGTTTTTTTGAATTTTTTAAAATTGTTTC